GCTACAACAAAGCAGAGAGGCAGGACTGCGTGTTCTGGGTCCCCTTCATACTTCTGGAGGATGTAGATGCACGAGAGAGTGAAAAGGGCGACCCTGGCGATCCAGAAAAAGCGACCGAACAGCATGTGCAGGAGATAGAAGAAGAATCCAAGGAAGAGAGATAAAAACCAATAGGCAAGTAAAATGGCACCAATCAGGAGAAGAGCACGGGTCGGGTTGTTGGCAATTGCTGCTGGGCTGAAATAATGAGTCAAGTTGGAGGCTGAAAAAAATACAAAAGGAAAACGTACCGAAGGTTAATGAGTGCGCGTCAAAGCAACAGGGGCAAAAGTGCCAGCACAGCTTCACGGGGCCAGGCTGCAGGGTCATGGCCATGTTTTCTAAAGTAAGGGGTAGAGTTAGCTCATCCATTTCTGGATGGGCCTTCTTCAAATCACTGGCTCAGCTCCAGTGATGCAACCAAATGAATCCCTTTGAAGCAGAGGTGATAAAAGTTCTTTAAAGGCAACCTATTGCAGGGCCTAAGGTCAAAGTTCATACTGAGGCTAAAGATTCTCCTCTGTACAAGTTATACTCTAAAAGTTCTCACTTGTACCTTTCTCTCTTCTAGTCCTCCTTTACTGCCCTGCACCGTCCTTGGCCACGTGCACCCATTTAATGATACTAGGAAACCAACCGTGACTTGTAATGAGGTTTATAGATACCCTGTAGCTATATACACAGAAATCAAATGGCTGGTTCTAGTCTTGTTTGAAAGTACCAACAGCAAAAACAAAGCCATCTGAAGTAGCTACAGAAACCACTGATGGATGTTTCAAGCAGTGTGATAAAATGTAGTTATTTCCCCACTGGTGTATGCTTGTAAACGTGGATACAGGCTGATACAGTTCAACAGACATCACACTTACCATCGATTCCAAGAACATCTAACAAATCAGTCCATATTCTCCAGAATGTGTCCATTAATATGTCCACCCCATTCACAAACCTCTCTGTCAACCTTGAGAAAAACTGAGAAATAAAATGGAAAATTAAAAATAAATAAATAAACCCTCAACTCCTTCAACACACTTGGAGTCATGGACTAACATCACGATTCATGAAGCAAGAGCTGCAGACTATTTTGAAGCCCTCAAGGGAAAAAAATGTAACTCAGTATGTTTTCTATCTGTGAATCATAAGTTTATTTATTACGGTTGCCCTTAATTCTAGGCATTTTGGAATGTAAATTTGTATGTTGACAAGATGCAGAAAATGCACTTCGTTAGTTTAACCATTGTCCTGGAGTTAAAAAAAATCACTATTACTAGCAATGGACATGGGTGAAGCAAACCAGAGAACTGTAGTTTCACCGAGCGACTGGGGAACACCCCCAGATGCTTTACATGCATTTACAGGTCAGCTCAGCAGTATTTGCTACAGGTTCGCCCTGGCAGAGCGGCGAAGGAGCAGAGGAACGTGCAGGTCTGTGTGCCCTCACGCCTTGTTCCCTGCAAGTTGCCCCGGCAGACACAGGATGCTGTGCTGCTGCACAGACCGCCCGCCGCTGCACGGCCCCTCACGGGCAGCTCTGCCCCAGCGCCTCCCCGACCTGAAAGAACTTGCCAGCAACATTTTGTTTCGGCAGAAACTATACACATAATATAATTCTAGGCATTTTGGAATGTAAATTTGTATGTTGACAGGATGCAAAAAATGCACTTCGTTAGTTTAACCATTGTCCTGGAGTTAAAAAAAAATCACTATTACTAGCAATGGACATGGGTGAAGCAAACCAGAGAACTGTAGTTTCACCGAGCGACTGGGGAACACCCCCAGATGCTTTACATGCATTTACAGGTCAGCTCAGCAGTATTTGCTACAGGTTCGCCCTGGCAGAGCGGCGAAGGAGCAGAGGAACGTGCAGGTCTGTGTGCCCTCACGCCTTGTTCCCTGCAAGTTGCCCCGGCAGACACAGGATGCTGTGCTGCTGCACAGACCTCCCGCCGCTGCACGGCCCCTCACGGGCAGCTCTGCCCCAGCGCCTCCCCGACCTGAAAGAACCTTTACCTAGAGATATTTTTAATGGCAATTTTGCGCAGTTCTCCCCCCCCCGTCGAGCCTCGCGTCCCGTTTTTCCTCCCCCAGCAGCTTCTCCCGCCGCCGG